AACTTTTAAAAAAGCAAAAAACTAAAGTTAATCACAATAACTTTTTAAGCAAAATAAGACAAACTTTCTAAGTTGAACACAAAACACTATAAAATATTAAGCTAAGGATTTCAGTACACGAGACAGGCTCCCATCACCTAGGCAACTTCACAAAGCAAAACAGATGGGATGCATTTACTTAGTCACTCACCTCCTCATCAGACTCAAACTGCACATTCACACCATAGGTCTCATCAATGTTGTCATCTGAGGAGACAAGGAATTACAAAGAGAGGCAGTGAATAGTGGAGACACTTGAGCCCATTTCCTCAACTGCCTGGTTTGCTTACTCTCAGGTCAGACACACAGACTTAAAGAACATGAAAACCAGCACACAGGCCTCTCCAACCTGCCAACCTGGATTCTGCCATGCTCAGCTCCTAAATCCTCCCTGCTCTCTCCCACACTCTACATAATAAGTCTCAGAATAAGAAATGGCTGCCATTGGGGGCTAGAGAGATGGTTTAATGGTTAAGAGCACTGACTGCTCTTCCAGAGAACCTGGGTTCAATTCCCAAAGCTCACATGGCAGCGCACAACTGTCTATAATTCATGTCTGGGTTTCAGAGGACCTGACGCCCATGGCAAAACACCAATGCACATAAAATAAGTAAATTTTTTAAAATATGGCTGCCAGGGTTGAATAGATAGCTCAACCACTAAATACTAAGACTCACAACCAAAACCAAGAAATGGCTGCTGGAAGAATTCTAGTGCCTATCAGTCATTACTCTCTATTTTTAAAGATGGGTTTTTTGTTGTTGTTTGTTTTTGTTTTTTTAGAGACAGGGATTCTCTGTGTAGTTTTGGAGCCTATCCTGGAATTCTCTCTGTAAACCAGGCTGGCCTCGAACTCAAAGATGCACCTGTCTTCCCAAATGCTAGGATTAAAGGCATGCACTACCACAGCCCAGCAAAGATGAGGCTTCCTATGGAGCCCCAGTAGGCCTAGAACTTGCTATGTAGATCAAGCTGACTTGCTGGAATTATAAACCTATGCTAACATAAAATAGGTTATGGAAACAATGCTATTCTGAAATTTTAACAATGACACTGAGTGCTCACTAAGAAAGACCAACAGTCACAAAATGTCATCAGGACACAAAGGGCTCAGGTACCCACCCATATTCTGGATCTCCTTGTCTCCACCGTAGTCTGTGATCTTCTTGCCCAAGTTTACCAGCACATGGTATCTGGTGTCATCTGTCTGACCCAGCAACAGGTCAATCTCCCTTCTTCTCTCCTTGTCTCGAAGTTTTTCATTCTTCAGGACAGCCAGAACCTCATCAGCCGCCCCACAAAGGATATCACGAGGCTGAAGAAAAAATACAGACATTTACTACAACGATATGTAGAAGGTCACTGACCAGATTTGTGGCAATAGGAAATAAACATATCTTCAAAATTACATGCGCTGGAGAGGTGGCTCAAAAATTAAGAGTACTTGTTGCTCTTGTAGGCTGAAAAAAATCGTAACTCAAGTTCCAAGAGATCTGATGCCTATTCCTGATCTCCAAGGGCACCAGGTGTCACACGCGCACGCACACACGTAAGCAGAACAATCATACACATAAAAAGCAATGTAAACAACAATAAAAAAAAAGGAAAATCTGCAGTATCCCAGGCTTTGACGACATTCATCAACAAGATACAGTGGCCTGTGCCTGTATTCCTAGCACTTGGGAAGAAATAGGACCAGAAGTTCAAGGTCATTCTTGAATGCACAGTGAATCTGAGGCCAGCTTGAGCTACATGAGACCTGGTCTCACACAAACAAAACTAAAAATTAAAAAGACAGCAGGGCAGTAGTAGCACACAGCTTTAATCCCAGCACTAAGAAGGAGAGGCAGGCGGATCTGAGTTCCAGGACAGCAAAGGCTACACAGAGAAACCAACAACAACAAAAAGACTAATAGGTATTTGCTAAGGATGAGATCCTGGAGTCGATCCGCAGAAAGGGGGGTGAGACACTAGGTAGTAAGGTGGTCTTCAAAAGCAGAACAGTTTGCCACAAATCTTCATGTGAAAGTGGCACTCAGCAACCTTCCCCTATCCTGTCACACTTTCACTAACTCTTTGCTCACACATCCTCTACTCCCCACCTCACTAGAGAACTCATAGGGACTCCCAATCTAATCCTAAGTGTGCAACGGTCCAGGGCAGATTTGGGGTAGGGACCACTAGGATTTATGTTCTCACTGACAAATGCTGTCTCTCTGACTTAGGCATCTCAGGTCTCTCTTCTATGAAAATTGAAAATGAATGTTAATAGCACAGATTCATAGTTAACACTCTATTCTGTATACACTAAGTGCTCAGGAAGTATTAGCCATTTCTGCAAAATGGTATTGCCTTCGCACCCTGCTGGGAAAATTCAGATTAAGATTCTTCTAGTTGGACTAAAAAGATGATTCTGCAGGTACAGGTACTTTCCACCAAGTCCAACAATTTAAGTTTGATCTCTGAGTCCCACACAGAGTAAAAAGAGGACCAACTCTGAAAGCTGTCCTGACTTCCGCATGCATCCTGCGGCGCACACACATAGGATAAATGCATGTAACTCATAATGTCACCAAAAGTCTTGCGCTACCACCCTTTTTCCAAACACAAGGTCTCATCCTCTGGTTCCAGACTCACCTGGTCTCCAAGAGCAGCCTGGATGAAGCTGAGCAGCACCTCGTAGGTCTCCCGAGTCTCCTTAGTCTTGGGCTTATAGATGATGCCCACCATCTCATCGATGCCCTCCGACAGCAACGTATAGCCTTTCATCTTGTTGATGTCGTGCCGGTCCTCGTCACGCTTTCGTCTCCTAGTGGACATACAATATGATGCTGAATGGGAGAACTTTCCATTCCTGAGCCAAGTTTCCCCTTTCTGTACATCCAATATGTGGAGACAGGAACACGAGTCAACAGAAGTAATTCCCGCTTGACCTTTTCATCATTTGATGAAGCATTTCTTTATCATCGGGAGGTGATTATATGATGCTATTTCAACCGGTTTTTGTTGTTTTGGTTTTTACCTTTTACTAGCCAGAGAGGCTAGACTCCAGAAGAATATACTTCTAGTGACTCCCAATAAATAAATAGAAAAGAAGCCAGATTCTAAAAAGCGAAGGACCAAGGAACACTTTTAAATTTCAACAACTCTTCTCGATTATAACCACTCCAACTAAACAGGGCCTGAGAACTGCTGAGACTTCCCAGAAAGAAACGGGAGAAAGAAAACACAGTCAGAGAATATATAACTTTTGAAATGAATCTACCAAGGTGGAAAAAAGGAAGAACAGCAAAACAAAAGCACCAGGAAGTGGGCAACAACCGCAGGGAGTCGGGGTAAGAAACTTGTAACAGGGATGGTGGGGCTGAATTACTGAGACAAAAGAGTAACAAGAGTCTTGAAACTAGTTGGTGATGGCCTGGAGAGAAGGCAAGTTAGGAGCAACACTACCTCTGCAGATGACCAGGGTTCAGTTCCGAGGCCCCACACTGGGTAGCTCACAACTGCCTGAAACTCCAGTTCCAGGGGATCTCAAACCATCTTCTAGCCTCCACGGGCATTTGCATGCATGTGCCTATACACATGCACACATGCACATAATTAAAAATAAAACAGACCTTTAAAAATATAGCTTGAAGAAAATTAGCATCTACCCATGAATCAGAAACAAAAGGTATCAACTGATTCATTGCACCCAAGTCCAAAAAAGCTTTAAACCTTGAAGAGGTTTTCAGTGTGTTTGGGCAAACGCTGCTGATCTTCCACGGGAATTTCAATTAAAAAAAAAAAAACTGTTCAAAAAGTTAAAGATGGGCTTTAAGTCAGGAGAAAAACACAACATCCCACTGATACCTACTTGGCCCTTCTTTCTTCCTGCATCTGTGGTTTGGTCCGTTGAGCCTTATCTCCCATACGGGTTCCCTCCAACTTCCCAACCAGGGACAGAACCTCTCCTGTTGGTTCATCACGGCGGGTCCGGTCAATAAGAGAGCGGTCAGCTTGAAGCACAAGATTTGAGTTCTGAAAAGAGCAACCTTAATCAAAACTTTGATATATAAATATTTTCGATTCCTGTTATCACAGTAACACTAGAAGATGGGAAAATACTGGAATAAAAAAATAATCCCCTTAGCCGGGAGGGGGTGGCGCGCGCCTTTAATCCCTGCACTTGGGAGGCTGAGGCAGATGGATCTCTGTATGTTTGAGGACAGTCTGGTCTACAAGAGCTAGTTCCAGGACAACTAGGACTGTTAAACAGAGGAACCCTGTCTCGAAAAAAAGCAAAATAAATAAATAAAATCTCCTTAATAGGGAAACAGTATCACATAACGCTATGCACAAGCACTGGACTGTCTGGTAAAGTGAACGATCAACGTTCCTAACAGTATCCATAATAACCCACATTTAGGTAAAGTGTTAAGCAGATTGGGGATAACAAGTAGAAGGGACGGTTTAGCGCTCAGGAGCCGGGGTGTGTGTGTGTTGGAGTGGAATCTCCTGAGTCCGCATGTGCCCTAAACTCCACTGGAGTTATTCCGTCGTGTTTTAATCCATCCTTCACCCAGACCTGATTTCCCCTTCGTGTCTGTGGCTCTCCACGAGCTCCCTCGCCCGCAACCCTCCTTCGAGACTTCACGCACCGCCTTGTACTCGTACTGCAGACTGCGGGCAGTCACATCCGCCATGGCTGCCGATGCTCCTGAAACTCAGGGTTACACTCGTCCACACGCTGCGAACCGCCTCGACAAACCGCTCCGGCCCGGCAGGAACGACGCAGGACCGACGTACGGGACAGAGAAAAGAAACGGACTTCCTTCCGTTTCCGGGACGCATGCTGAAAATGATACTTTCGGGTGAATACGCACGGCTTCTGGGCGGAGTTTGCAGACGATAGTACATCCGGGTCATGGGTCCGGTGGACCGACAAAACACACGGTCCTGAGTACTTATGGTTCCGAGCAGCTATATGTACGTCAGGGCTAAGACCGAAACCCTTTACAGAATGATGTTAAAAGTCCCTTTACTGTAATACTTTTGCTTTCTCAGACCAGCCGTCCTGCAGGCATGCAGACAACGGAAGCTCAGGAGCTCCGTTTATTAAGGATAAGGAAGCTGGCCGGGCGGTGGTGGCGCCGGCCTTTAATCTCAGCACTCGGGAGACAGAGGCTGGCGGATCTTTGTGAGTTTAAGGCCAACCTGTTCTACAAGCGCTAGTTCCTGGAGAGGCTCCAAAGCTACGAAGAAACCCTGTCTCGAAAAACAAAATAGAAACAAAAAAAGGATAAGGAAACTGAAAAGCAAGTTAACATAAGAGTCTAATAACTGACTGGATTTCTCTTCCGTATTGGGAAATTGGGGAAATGTCCCCCGTCCCATTCAACCTACCCCAAATCCGATTCCGCAAGACTCAATCCCTATGTCAGCTGACTGAGGGTGAAGGAAGAAATATTGGCACCGAATGATCTGTCACAGACCGTGACAGGATTACAGGTGTGCACAATTATGTATGAATGAGCACTTTTTTGTCCTCAATGTGGCACAAATGCTACATCTAGAGGGCTGCTTTACTAAAGAAATATATGAAAAATAAGTCATGCCTGGATATATTATTTTGATTTATTAAGCAGTAGTGGTACATTTTATGTAATGGTCATATCTAGTCTTAATAATTCTCTACATTGAAAACATAACAGCGATTTCTACTTTCCCTTTAGTAAGCACGAGTGAGCCTTAAGTCTGTGTCTTAATCCATTGAGCCATCTTGCTGGCATTTTTTTTTTAGTTTGGTTTATCATTATTTTCATTATATTCTATGTATATGAGTGTTTTAGCTACTTATATCTGTGTCTGAATGTATGTTCGTGTATCATGTATACGCAGACCCCAAGAAGGTCTGAAGAAGGTGTTAGATCCCCTGAGACTGGAGCTACAGATAGGTTGTGAGTCGCCATGGGGGTGGTGGGGTGGAAACCCAGGTCCTCTGAAAGAGCCCCCAAGTGTTCATAACCATGGCTAATAAGAGATAATATTCTCATATGTAATTTCTCTAAAATTAAGATTAGTATTATTTCCCAAGAAGACACCTTTAGTCCCAGCACTTGGGAGGCAGAAGCAGGCAGATATCTGTGAATTCGATGTCAGCCTGGTCTACGGAGCAAGTTCCAAGACAACCACGGCTACACGGAGAAACACTATCTTGAAGAAAAAGAAAAAGATTAGTATTACTTAAATTTCTTTGTGGTGTGTATATTTTTATATTTTATTTATAAATGTATGCGATTTGAAGATACTTTTATAAATGTATATGATGTGTGTGAGGCAGGGTGTGGGGTGCAAATGCAGCAGTGTGTGGCAGCAGGACAGCTGTGAGGTCAGGTCTCCCTTCACTTTACGTACCCTCTGGTCATTGAGCGCAGGTCCTCAGATTTTGCAGCAAGCACCTTTAGCCACTGAGCCAGCACACCAGCACTGCATTGCTTTTATCATTCAGGAAACACAGCAAGGAAAATTCCAAACAGCTTAGACAATTTTCGTTTTATTTTTTGAGACAGGATTTCTGTGTGACCTTGGCTACCCTCTAAGTCACTTGATATAGAATAGGTTAGCCTTGAAACTCACAGAGGTACGCCACGCCTGCCTCTGCCTCCTGAGTGCTGGAATTAAAGTCTCGTTGGCCACCATTACCCAGACTAGCTTAGACATTTTTTTAAATATCTAAATATAAAGGAAAAATATAGGAAGAGAGATGTAAATATCGCGAGAGCGGTTTGAGTCAGTCAGGTGCTTAATCATCGCTGTGGATGAAGGTGAGTATCACCCAGCTATTCTGGGGTTCATTTGGATGTGTCCGCCAAAGTGTGCACAAGCGTAGACTGAGAAATCTAAGAGTTAACTCTTGCTTTTCAGAACTGGTGATTAGAAGTACCTGAAGGGGTCCTTTCAGTCCAGGCCAAAGGTACTCTTGGTGTGAGACTCTTTGATTTGTAAATTGTTGAAATCATCAGAGGTCACCTTGCTCATTAATTACCTGTCTCTTAGGAGGTCACGGTTTTAATTCTTCTACTTATAATATTTTTAAAATATTACATTTTTTTTTAAATAATAATAATTTTGTAAAAAAAAAAGTTACATTTTTGTCTGGTGGTGGTCGCACATGCCTTTAATCCCAGTACTTGAGAGGCAGAGGCAGGTGAATCTCTGTGAGTTCAAGGACAACCTGGTCTACAAAGAAAGATCTAAGACAGCCAGGGCTACACAGAGAAACCATCTCTCAAACAACAAAACAAAGCAAATTACATACTCATTTATTTATTGTGTGTGCACGTGTGCATGTGTGTGCACATGTGCCTACAGGTCACGGTACCTGTGTAGAGGTCAGAAGAAAACTTGCAGGCATAAATTCCCTCCTTTCACATTGTGGGTTCCAGGGGGTGATCTCGGGTCACCAGGCAGCAAACACCTTGCCAGCTTTCTGGCACGAGTTATGATTTTTAAAAGCCCCCGTGTAAGCATGTATGGTCTCCCTCGAGCAGAGATGGCTTCTGTAGGGTTTTGTTTTTAAAGGGCACTCAGTAATTATTTTACAAGCTGTTTCCCACATAGTTTAGTTCTTACACATGAAAAATGAAACATCAGAGTTTGCATTGCCTGTCTTCACAAGTGCCACTGAGCAAAGACAGGGACTGAATCTTTAACGCAGGCTTTATGAGCCTAGAGAGGTGGCTCAGTAGTTAAGAGCATTGGCTGCTCTTCCAGAGGACTTGGATTTGACCCCCAGTATTCAATCAGTGACTCACAACTATCTGAAACTTTAGTCCCAAGGGATCTAATGCCCTCTTGTGACTCCTGAGGGCACCAGGCATTTATGCTGTGCACAGATAAACATGCAGGCAAAACACCCATACACACAGAGTAAGTTTGAATTTAAAAAAAAAAGGACTTTATTCCAAGTGCCAAATATCTGAGAATGCAATGAATTAACATCCAAAAACTCTGACTTCTATCTCCTCTCCAGTTAGCAAGTTTTACTGAGTGAACACAAAGCAGTCACTCCAAAGTTTATTCTTGTCCCCGTGGCCAGGTGGCCAACCATGGCTTTGAGATTTATCATGTTGCCACTTCTCTCCTTATGGTCTCTTGCACCTTTTCCTATTACAGTATTTCTCCATGCAGCATGGACAAGGACCACATGCTCTGCAGGTCACAGTGACTTGCATTCTCCTGGTATGCCATCTGGATTCCTGGTTAACTCAGAACAAACATGGTTAGTAATGTACATGCTGAGCTACTTAAATGTATAAATGCAAGTTATTTTTTCTACGATATGAAATGCAGAAGTACCCTTATTACCTAGAAGATGATAGTGCCCCAGCCATCATGAATATTTTCTTATCATTCCCCACAATAAGCAGTAATTTGCTGTAGGATAATGCTCTTGTGACTGCAAAAATTTATCACTTGTATTGGTTTAATAAAATGCTGATTGTCCAGGAGCCAGGCAAGAAGTATAGGTGGGGTGATGAGACTAAGAGAATTCTGGGAAGAGGAAAGATAGAGACGTAGTGGTCAGCAAGATGCAGAGGAAGCGCGTGGCACTGGTGGTGCACGCCTTTAATCCCAGCACTTGGGAGGCAGAGGCAGGCGGATCTCTGTGAGTTCGAGGCCAGCCTGGTCTACAAGAGCTAGTTTCAGGACAGGCTCCAAAGCTACAGAGAAACCCTGTCTTGAAAAACAACAACAACAACAACAACAACAACAAAAAGATGCAGAGGAAGCAAGATGAGAAAAGGTACCAAGCCACATGGTTAAACATAAGTAAGAATTATGGGTTAATTAGGCAGTGGTGGTGTACGTCTTTAATCCCAAAACTTGGGAGGCAGAGGCAGGCGGATCTCTGTGAGTTCAAGGCCAGCCTGGTCTATAAAGTGAGTTCTAGGGCAGCCAGAGATATACAGAGAAACCCTGTCTCAAGAAACTAAAAATTTAAAATAAAATAAAAGAAATAGAGTAAAATAAAAAGCCATATACAAGATGGAAAATACACAGAGAATACGTGCCCCCAATCAGTAAGAAGTAGCCTAGAAAAATACACCCACATCCCCCCCCCCAAATTGATTATGGATGTTTGTCTTTGTTCAGCATGTAAGTTACAAGTTGTTATAGGTTAATGGTCAGGGATAAACTAAACAAAGATTAGATTCAGGGTCTTGTTTTGAAAAAAGGGGAAATGCTGTGGGATAATACTCTTATACACTGTAAAAAATTGTCACTTGTTTTGGTTTAATAAAACGCTGATCTTCAGGTAGGCTGTATTTGTTAAAGTACAAACAAGATATCACCACAGTCAACTAAGTGAAATTTTTAAGGAAGTTCAAGGTCATCCTGTGCTACATACTGATTTGGAGGCCAGTCTGGCATGCATAAAATCCTGTCTCAAAAAAATCAAAACCACTGAAAATAATTAATACTATTTTCTGGGAGGCGGTGGCACATGCCTCTAATTTTCTATTTTTAGTTATGTAGCTTGATACCTTTTCTCATCTTACTTCCTCTGCATCTTGCTGACGACTCCATCTTTCCAGAATTCTCCTAACTGGTTGCCCCACCTATACTTCCGGCCTGGCTACTGGACAATCAGAGTTTTATTAAATCAATGCAAGTGACAAATCTTTCCAGTGCATAACGCACCCGTTCCCAAATAAGCAGTCAGGGGCTTAATATTAAATACAAACTGTTTGGCCTATTAGCTCAGGCCTATTATTAACTAGATCTTACAGCTTAACTTACACATCTCTTTTATTCTATATTTTATTATGAGGCTCATGGCTTGTTACTTCACATCTTGCTTCTCCAGTGGCTGCTGGCGTCTTCCAGACTCCACCCTCTTTTCCCCTTCACCTTTGCTTGGATTTCCCACCTGGCTCTATTCTGCCCGGTTGTTGACCAAACCAGCTTTTTTATTAACCAATGGTGATAAAACATACTCACAGCATAGAGAAGGGCATCTCACATCAGGTAGAGCTGACAGGAGTGTCTCTAAATCAAGAGCGGGACTGCAGCACATCATGCACGGAAGCAAACACTCTGGGTGTGGTTTGTATCCAGGAAGCACTGCTTTAAAAGTTTTGCTCCTCCGTGTGTCACCAGAGAGCATTTCACCTTAAGAGGGCTGAGGACAGCTATCATAGAGACGAGAGAGTGGCTCAAGAAGTCAGTGGGTTTTTTAATGATGATATTCTGCCAGAGAACTATGCGCTGTCCCATCTGTACAGGATTAGGGGCTGCATGACTACATGGAGATTACCATTTTGTGGGCCAGTGGCACTCTAACATTACATAGGTTTGGGGCCAAAAAAGGGGGGGGGGCAGAAATCAAGGTGACATTCAAACCGAAACAGAACAAGCAGCAACTGTCAGGGAATCTCACCAGCACCGCATCAAAGGCTTTCTCTTTGTGGTTTCCATATAAGGTGTCAGCAGGTGTCATTTTCTTTAGTGGTGTAGCACTGGCAAGCTGCCTATGCTTCAGAAAATAAGCCTGTAGCCATACTCATACAAGCAACCCTAATTCAACCAGTGTGCTTCAGAAAAACAGAATTATAGGATACGTTGAGACGATACCCTCCTTCCTAATGGGGGAGGGTGACTATGACCACAATATATCGTAAATATGTATGAAGTTTTCAGAAATAGCACTGTGGGGCACCCAATCGCAATTCGAGGAAATTCACCGTTTCAATAACTGTCCCTTCACGGTCTCCGCAAATGAGGATCGGCAGTAGGTGGGCACAGGCTGCTGAGAGGATTCCCTGTGTCATCTCTAGCAACCTGAGGAGATCTCTTGGAAGTCACTGCTTGAGTATTTTTGACTTCCCTGTAGGAAATAACTTCCGGGTGAAATGGTATGAAACAGTCCTGGCTTTCATGAAGACGAGATCTGAAAAAAAGACGTAAGCATAGAGAGTAATGCGCAGGTCCTTAGAGAAAGGACAGGTCAGACACGAGCGTAGATGTGGGCTTTTCAAGACAGAGTTGGGCTTACACGTCTGTTAGCAATAGCTATAAATACAATTTTTCTAGATCACAAGTAAAATCTCAACAGCTTGCTAAGTTTTGTTTTGTTTGTTTGTTTGTTTGGTTTTCATTTTTCTCCATCTTTTCTGATAAACGATAGGCTAGCTGCACCAGTGTCTTAGTTAGGATTGCAATCTGATAAGTTAAAACCATGCATTCAAAAAGATTGCACAAGGGTTTAAGATGTGTCTTTTATCACAAATATGGGTTCTCATAAGAGGCCTAGGAAATTGCAGGCTATACCTGGGTAAAGAAGGAGGCCATTTACACTTAGCCTTTCAACGTGGTTCATTGATGTTTTTACATCCTTGTTTGAAACATCTAAGAAAGTAGTACTGTGGACTGGCGAGATGACTCAGTGGGCAAAGGTTCCTGAAGACCTGAGCGAATCCCCAGGATCTACACGGGGGAAGGGAGAGAATAGACGCCCCTGGGTTGTCCTCTGACTTCCATGCCAACACTGTGACATGCGTGTCACATACATACATACAATACAAATAAAGACATAAAGTTGTTTGAAGTGAGTGTCGTGTCTAGGTAGGCAATGATCACAGAAAATGCCGGCTGTGCTGGAATTCTTCACTCTGAGTCAGCTAGAGTCTTCAAGACCTTGGGGTAGGAGGATCCTTTTTCTTCCATGAAACAGTCTGTAATTGTCTGTCTGTCTTTCTACCCTCCCCACAGGATTCCTATAGTATGGGAATGTCTTCCCCCTCAGGGTTTCCTCTTAAAACAGACCATAGCAATCTTTCTCCCTGGTCTAGAATTCTGTTGTGCTTGGAGGTAAAGAAGGAAGGACAGTTGTGCCAGCGGAGCGTGGATTGGTCGGGGGAGACCACTTAGAGGCTCCACAGTTTATGTTTACTCCTGACACAACCCGTAAGGCCTTTTTTGGTTAATTTCCCATTTTAAATATCTGCTTAATTTTATAGTTTCCAAAATTTTTGTTTTTTTTTTAAGATTTGTTATTATTATTTTTGTGTGTGAGTGTTTTGCCTGCATTACGAATGTGCTCTTTTTTTTTTTTTTTTTTTTTTNTTTTTTTTTTTTTTTTTTTTTGGTTTTTCGAGACAGGGTTTCTCTGTGGCTTTGGAGCCTGTCCTGGAACTAGCTCTGTAGACCAGACGAATGTGCTCTTACAGGGAGCCTGGCAGAGGTCGAAAAATGACATTGGATCCCCTGGAACTGGAGTTAAAGACAGTTGTATGCTGCCAGGTAGGTCCTGGGAACTGAATCCAGGTGAAGAATAAGAAGTGCTCTTAACTACTGTGCCATCTCTCCAACCTCAATTTTTATTTTTTGTAAGTTAGAAATTTCATTGTTCCTAATTCTTAAACATTTTAAAATTCAAATTAAACTAGGCCTTTATAATCTTTAGCTCTAGTATAGGTCTTCCAGCTAATAACATGTAAAAAAAAATACTCAGATTTGGGATTGGAGAAATAGTTTGGTGGTTAAAATCCCTTGCTGCTCTTGTACAGGCCCCAGCTTCCCCATAGGAGTCTTGTAACTGCTTCTGAACTCCAGCTCAAGGGGATCCAATGCCCTCTTCTACACCCCACAGGCACGTGCACACATATGGTGCACATACATGCATTTAGGCATGCACACATGCACATAAAATATAAACTTTGAAAAATAGATATATCAAATGTTCTTCATTGGGTGAACCGTAAAGCCAAGTTCTGTTTTCCCATTTCCCCAAATACTTGTAGATTTATTAACCATAACTGTCCAACAGCTGGAGGACCAAATTTCTCCAAATAGTCACTCCTTCCTTCAGTTAGCATTTTCTCCGGAAAAACTTCCCTATGCTAATAACGGGATTTGTGGTTTGGATCGGATTTCTGTGCTTCTCATTGGAAGAGTGCCTCCGCTCTCATCTAGGGATTGCTTCCTCCTACTGTGTCTATACACTTACAACATGGGAAGGCTGAGTGACTAACCGTCATTAGTATCTTCTTGGCTGAGTTAGTAAGGTGCCTTCTCACCAAGAAATACCATATAGTTTTAGGTTTTCCTACGAGGGTATTACACTTTCCGAAATGTTCTCTGTGATACTTCTGCCCTACCGGGGTGGAGGGAACAATGCATCTTTCATGACTTTATGATCATTTGTTCATAGAATTCCTAAACTAAAAGTGGTAAGGCTGCAATAATCAGGAGAGGTCACAGAAAAATTCAGAATTAGAAACCTGATGAGTGGCAGGAAAAAGAAGCTGAATATTGGTAAGTATATTATGTCTATTTTTTTCAAAAGCAAACAAAATTATCTGAAAACAAAACAGCTTCCAAATAATAGAATGCTCTGGAAAAAAACCTGAAAACAAAATAGGATTTTCAGCTGGCAGTAGTGCACGTCTTTAATCCCAGCACTTGGTAGTCAGAGACAGGTGGATCTCAATGAGTTCAAGGCCAGCCTGGTTTACAAGAGCTAGTTCCAGGACAGGCTCCAAAGCCACAGAGAAACCCTGTCTTGAAAAAAATTAAAAAATAGAATATTCAAACAACCAGCTCAGGATAAATCAGTGGCCCTTTAATTAAACTGACTGGCCCCCAAGCCCCAGAAAGACCTCACCAACATCCAACCGATGGGGTATTCATGAATGAATGGCCACAGAGGGTCCCATGCTGGTACCTGGTGCTAATCTGGATGATGTCTCTGGAGAAAATGCATCTTCCTTAGGACCTGATATTCAGGTGTCTAAACTCTTGTTGTTGTTGGTTTTGTTTTGTTTTTTTTTTTTTGTTTAGTTTTGTTTTGTTTTTCGAGACAGGGTTTCTCTGTGGTTTTGGAGCCCGTCCTGGAACTAGCGCTTGTAGACCAGGGTGGTCTCGAACTCACAGAGATCCTTGAAGGCGTGGGCCACCACCACCCGGCCAGGTGCTTAAACTCTTACAATGATCTTACCTCAATGGAAAAATGAGATAATTAATTAATTTTTTTTTGAGACAGGGTTTCTCTGTGTAGTCCTGGCTGCCTTGGAATTCACTTTGTAGACCAGACTGACCTTGAACTCAGAGGCTTGCCTGCCTCTGCCTCTGAACTACTGGGATTAAAGGTATGTGCCTCCACACTTAGTTGAGATATTTAAGTTTTTTTTTAAAAAAAATTATTTGGTCATATTTTATGCAGTGTTTCGCTTGCATTTATGCACACATGGTGCCTGGTGAGGACGGAAGAGGGTGTCAGAACCCCTGGAATGGAGTTACAGATGGTTTCAAGCAGCCATGTGAATGCTGGGAACCCAACTTGGGTCCTTGGTAAGAGCAGGCAGTGTATGACTCTGGAGAGATGGCTTAGTGGTTAAGAACACTGGCTGTGCCGGGCGGTGGTGGCACACGCCTTTAATCCCAGAGGCAGGCGGATCTCTGTGAGTTCGAGGCCAGCCTGGTCTACAAGAGCTAGTTCCAGGACAGGCACCAAAAACTTCAGAGAAATCCTGTCTCAAAAATCAAAAAAAAAAAAGAATCTTTCTTTCTTTCTTTCTTTCTTTTTTTTTTGATTTTTGATTTTTGAGAGAACACTGGCTAATTTTCCAGGGGTCCTGAGTTCAATTCCCAGCAACCATCTCTAGTGGGATCTGATGTCCCCTTCGGGCATGAAGGTGTACATGCAGATAGAATACTCATCTAGTAACTGAACTGCTGAGCCATCTCTCCAACTGCTCTTAAATGCTGAGCTATCTCTCCAACCCCTGAATAAGTTATTTATTGAGTGAAAAATGAATAAACATGACCTGCAAACATACATTCAAATTGTCTCCAAAGCCAGGGTCTAACTCTCTAACTTGCTATGTGAGATTCTTATTAGTTACAGAACAAAGAAACTCGTGCATCAAGGCATTAACTAAACACCTTGATGGGGACCACAGGCAGATGGGCTATAGTAAGCTGGGGAAACTCTGCTACCTAGTTCACATGCTGTGTTGTGGGGTATTCACCAGAGAAGAATGCTCAGACATGGGTTTAATTAAGTCAATAGAAAGTCTTTATTAGCCTGAACACTCCACTGGGTGTTCAGGATCCCAGGATAGCCCAAGCCTTTCTTAGGATGAGTTTTTAAACACAAAAACCATATTCTGGGTTGACATACTTCACTTAACAAGAACAATTAGCCAGATGTAGATCTACAGAAGCCAAAAAGCAAGATCAGTCCATTTTGAGACTTTCCTAGAAGTAGGGACTTATAGATTAGGCCTTTGTTTTTATTTTGGCAGGTGGTGCTGTCTATGTGCTGAGTTTTATAGTTTAAATGGTACTTCCATTATGGAGCCAGTTGTGCTAAGGTCTGGGTCCTTATTATGATGAGATGATTGAAGGGATTCTAGCCAGCTTGAGCGTGGCAAACTGGTTCTGGCAGGCCTTGCCCTTTTCCCTAGTTCCCTCTGCCTTCATAAAAGCCATTAGATCACATTCCTAAAGCTAGCCACCAAGGTCTATCTCTTTATTTGCCACTTCCTCCTCCTGAGGCTGACTACCAAGGTCTAGCTATCAAAGTATTGAAGTATAGCAATCAAAAACCCCCTTTGTCTCACCTAGTTAACATGTCCAGTCAAAATTAAACACCTCATCCTAACACAGGGTTTTTCAATTTACCGTTATAAAGTGCCATTTGTCTGTGTGCCACATCTGCCCCTCTTGATCCAGAGGAGGTCCTTTGTCCCACTCCAGGACAGATACCCCTTGCTTCTCTCCTGGTTCCCTTCCCCTTCTCCTTTGTCCTCTATCTACTGGTCTATTCTCTTATTCTCTGCCCTTTGTCTCTCTGGGGCAATTAAATCTCCTTTGTGCTGAGGACTTGTCTTGGGGTCCTGAGCCACTACTGTTCCTTTACAATGATCGTTTTAGCTTTTTCCATTGATAGAAACTAGTGGTCTGCTAAGAATACATTTTAAAGGCTCCCCCCCTCCCCGCCCCGAGACAGGGTTTCTCTGTAGCTTTGGAGCCTGTCCTGGAACTAGCTCTTGTAGACCAGGCTGGCCTCAAACTCACAGAGATAGATCCACCTGCCTCTGCCTCCCGAGTGCTGGGATTAAAGGCGTGCACCACCACCGGCTCCCTATATTTTAAAGGGTTTGATAGACAAAAGGATGTTAGGTCAGATACAGAGATGAGAAATGAATGTCATTCAAAGGAACTAAAAATAGCCCGCAGTGATTTGGCTCTGGCTCTTTAACATTTGAGTTTTTCGCAATCACTAAATTCAATCCAGTCATTTATCCTTTTAGCGTCTTCAGAGCAGATGTGGTTTATTTGGGGGACTTCTACTCATTCCTATCACCTAAATTGATTGCAAACATTTATGTTAACGAGATTTTATTTATTTACTCTTTGAGGAGTATCTCCATAAATACTGCCAAAACTGGTATCAATCCTCAAACCCATGATTTCCATTAGCAAAGTGTTTATATAGGTTTTTTTTTTTCGAGACAAGGTTTCTCTGTGTAGCCCAAACTATCCTAGAACTCGCTCTGTAGACCAAGTTAGCCTCAAATTCAGAGATCCGCCTGCTTCTGCTCCCCTCCCCACAAGTGCTGGGTTTGAAGGTATGCACCACCATGCCCAGCACTGTTTTAATATGTTATTATATTGCAGATTAAATGTTCCTAATTGAAGGTCTGATGGAATCCTCACAATTGCAAAACTAAGTAAAGTTTAGAATGCAGGATGATCCTTTTCACTTTAGTGATATTGGACACATCTGTCTGGGATGGAGGCTTGACCTCAGAAAACATCATTTACTTTCCACAGTGTGGCTGATGCCTTTAGCAGCTTGATATTATGAGTCAAAAGTTAATGCTGTAATAAATTTCACCTGCATGTAGCATTATCCTTTGGGCTTTGTTTACATTAAAAAGTATCAAGTCGGGGCTGGAGAGATGGCTCAGTGGTTAAGAGCATTGCCTGCTCCTCCAAAGGTCCTGAGTATAATTTCCAGCAACCACATGGTGGCTCACAACCATCTGTAATGAGGTCTGGTGCCCTCTTCTGGCCTGCAGACATACACACAGACAGAATATTGTATACATAATAAATAAATAAATATTTTTTTTTAAAGTATCAAGTCTAAGCCTAGCTAAATCCTAGCACTCCGGCTGAACCCCAGCTCTCAGGCACTTGGGAGGCAGAGGCAGGTGGATCTCTGAGTTTAAGGCTAGCCTGGTCTACAGAGCTACTTCCAGCTCTGTAGTTCCAGCCAGAACTACACAAAGAAACCCTGTCTGCATCCTGCCCACTCCAAAAAAGTATCAAACCTGGCAAGGCATGGTGGTACAAGCCTTTGGGAGGCAGAGGCAGGAAAATGACGGTAAGTTCAAGGCTAGCTTGTTGTACCTGGAGAACTCAGAGGCAATCAAGGCTACAGAGTTTCAAACAAGAAAAGTATCAATTCTATGACAAAACATAATTTCCAAAAGTGTTTGTTGGAAACGCTTATTTTCTCAGTTGTGAATTTTAAAAAACTATAAAAAACACCACCACCACCACAGCACTGGGTGAGGCTCACAGGTTGTGCTCTCTGAGCATAAGGCCCGGTATTCAATCTCCATATTTCCATGCACACACACACAAGACTAAAACTACTGAGTCACTAAAACATTGTGTGATGGCAAGTGAGGACACTCAACTTCCTTATTTTAGATTTGTTTATTTTGTGCTTTATGGATATGAATGGTTTGCTTGGATGGATGTGCACCATGTGTGTGCCTGGTGCTCATGGAGTCAGAAGGGGTGTCAGGCCCCCTGGAAACGGAGTTATAGATGAGTGTGAGCCACAGTGTAGATTCTGGGAACCAAACCCTAGCCCTTTCCCAGAATAGCAAGTGCCCCCAACTGCTGAGCCATCTCTCCAGCACCCTCAGCTTCCTTTTCTAACAAAAATGTACGAGTCTGTTGATTTTCAAATCCACGAAAGTTTATGAAATTCACCATTGACTCATGAAAAGACTCTCAAATACTTCCCACAAGATATCTGTTGCTAAATACTACAATAAACAACCCGAGGCTTTAAACAGCATGCGCTTTCATTACCTGGAGAATTCACCCACCTAAACCTTCTGCTGCTTCTCATATATTCTTAGTTACAATGTATCTTAGCTCATTCCACAACAGGTCTTACTGAGTTTGGGTGGGCTTTTAAAAAAAATCTTGGAATATTTTCTTTAACTCCTCCAGACCTGTGGGAGCCCACACGTGACTCAGTTTCCATCTAGAGTCAACTCTGACTTAGTATCTAGGGCTGTGAAAATGTTCTGATTAAGCCCATGGGAAAGAGCATTTTTGCCCATGAGAAAGAACACATTATTTACGGAGACCTAGGCTGGTGAATGCCGGCCACAGGCACATCCAGACAGAGACAGAAACTGCTTGCTGCTAGCAGGACTCATGATAGACAACGAGCCTGCTTGTGCTTTCTCCCGAGGACAGTGCAGGGAGGTGGTTAGCTGACTGTACTGCTATTTGTTCTGACTTTAATCCATATAAAAGCAAATTCTGAAATAAACTCTGGGCTGGTCAGCATTTACTGACAAACCTCCTGAACTATTCTGTGTTTTCTGTCTCAATTTCTTTCAGTCTGCCATGTCCTCAACTTTGTGCCCCCTTCCAGGTACCCCAGCTGACTTTGTTGGAGCAGGCTCAGACACAGACTATATGCAACATTTAATTTTTCATTAATTATAAACTCTGGTCTCATGGATAAAATGCAACAACTGAAGTGTACCAATAATCTTTTCATTGAGAATAAGGAAAACTGGAAATAAATAATTTTTAAGTAATGCTTCTTGATATTTCTCTCAATGTTGAGTCTTTAAGCAACTGTTCTCGCCAAAAGGAGCAAGGTTTTAAACAAGCTTAAGGCTTGGATGGCAAACAGGTGGAATCAAGGCAATTATGTTGGTAGCTACTTCCTGTGTTGTTTATAATGATCATTTCATAAGTTTTCTTCTTCTTTGTAGCACGAATAATAAAAACAGAAAGACAGATATTGGGTTCAGCCTGAAGATCAGAAAAGCAAAGCAGCCAGCCACTAGAGAGACCTTTTACCTCTACCAAATCTTCAGACTGAAGGAGCAAGAAAGATCCTGTCTCCACAAATCCTCAAACTCCACACTACACTGAGTTCCCCTGTCTTTCCTTTTTTTCCCTCTCTCCAGTCAGTCATATTGCTCCTTTCTCCACCTCCCTAGTGCTGATTAAAGGCATGGGATTCCAAGTGCTGGGACCACCTTTGTATGAGCTCTGATTCTCCTTTAGACAGAGTCAGTCTTGTGGAGCTCGGGGTGGCCTTGAACAGACAGAGATCCGTCAGTCTCCTGAGTCCTGAGATTAAAGTGTATGCCACCACTTCTGGCCTGTATGGCAGACACGTTGAAACTCTTCTCGAAGCAGGAGTTACTTCTTCCATGAAGATGGGTTTTAGAGATAGGCTGCAGGTGTTATCAGGGCCTAGGGGAGGATCTGGTGTAGTCTCAGTCACACAGAGAGCACAGAGGATCTGGTGTAGTCTCAGTCACACAGAGAGCACAGAGGTCATCCGGATGATTTGCCGCCCCTGGTCCTGGTTGTTGGAGCTTGGGGGAGCTCCTACCCCTATGAATAGAGCAAGGATTATCTGGGTTATTAGCTACCCCCATTCCCAGCCTTCTGTTCAGAAATCAATTATACATCTCTTCTACAGAAGAGAAAGCCCTGCGTGTTTAACATTCCTGGTTTCCCTAATGCTTATCTGTGACCCAGGGGATCTTTGTGCTCCCAGCACCTGTCCAGCTTTTACAGGGTCTCTCTCACGGAGCTTAGACTGGCCTTGAACTTATCCCCTGCCTCAACTCTCCCCAAATTCTGGCGTTATATTCCTGTGAAAGATGTCTGGCTTACAATAAAAGTTTTTAAAGGCTACAGCTAAATCTATTTCACAGAAAATCTGCCGTATTTCTTTGCCTAGCAAGGGTGAGTACCTACAGTGCTAGAGCTGATTTGTTAAAATGAGCCACGTTACAGCTATTTTCACTTGTCACTATGTCACTATGACATCAGCCATCAGCACAAACTCTGGAGGGTTTCCTGTTTTTCCTCACTCCTAAATTACAAAGTACAGGTTGGAGGGGTCTAAAGAGATGGCTCAGCTGTTAAGAGCACTTGTTGCTCTTGCAGAGGATCTAAGAGGAGTTCCCAGCACCAATTCCAGGGGATCTTCTGACCTTCTTGGGTACCAGACACCATACATGGTGCAAAGACATACACACAGGAAAACACTCACACATATAAGAAATAAATATAAGCTGGGCGGTGGTGCTGCATGCAGCATTTAATTCCCAGCACTTGGGAGGCAGAGGTGCGTGGATCTCTGTGAGTTCAAGGCCCGCCTGGACTATAGCCAGCAAGTTCCAGGATAGGCTCCAAAGCTACACAGAGAAACCTTGTCTTGAAAAAACAAAAAATAGCCGGGGGCGGTGGCGGTGCATACCTTTAATACCAGCACTCGGGAGGCAGAGGCAGGCGGATCTCTGTGAGTTCGAGGCCAGCCTGGTCTACAAGAGCTAGTTCCAGGACCGACACCAAAGCTACAGAGAAACCCTGTCTCTAAACAAACAAATAAATACAGAAATACATCTTGGAGCTGGGCATGGTAACACACACTAATTCCAGCACTTGGGAGGCAGAGGCAGGTGGATCTCTGTGGGTCAGGCCAGTAAAGGGCTACATAGTGATACCCTGTCTGCAAAACAAAAAAAGTTAGGAAACAAAGTCAAAAGAAAAAACAAAAACAAACAAACAAACAAAACCCCAAAGATTTTTGACACTAAGATTTTGTCAATTCAAGTATGATCTTTAAGTGGAATAACAGTTCTTTAGCTTGTTGGCATCTCCCTTTTTAAAAGATTGCTTTACTTTTAAAAGCTGCTTATGTGTGTTTCGCCCACTTGTGTGGATGGGCATTCTGCACCTAGAGTCCATAGAGATAGAAAAGGGTGTCAGATTGTTGGGTTCGCTGGAACTGAAGCTACAGAGCCACCTTGAGGGTTCTGGAAACCAAACGAGTGTCCTCTGGAAGGGCAAGTGTCCTTTCCAGCTGAGCCATCTCCCCAGATTTATTTTTTGTGTTTTGCCTACCTATGTCTATGCATAGCATGCATGAGTTACAGTTGTGAGCACCATGTGGGTGCTGAGAATTGAACCTGGGTCCTTCAGAAGAACAGTCAGGGCTCTCGACCATCAGGCCATCTCTCCAGCCCCTTGTTGGCATTTTTAACGTGTACTAAACCTTATCTAGCCTTTATACTTTATGAAGTTCTCTTTGATATGATGTATGATCAGCAGAGCTGTCTGGAGGGTTAGAATTCTCTTACTTTTGTTTTGTTTTGTTTGAGACAGGGTTTCTCTGTGTAGCCCTGGCTGTACTGGAACTCACTCTGTAGAACAGGCTGGACTTGAACTTAGAGATCTGCCTACCTCTTGCTCCCGAGGGCTGGGCTAAAAGGCGTGTACCACCACTGTCTGACTAGGTTTAGGATTCTTACTTTTATGTGACTAGTGAGTGGCAAACAAAGCTCCAAGGCAGCTCTTTGAGCGATAGATCTCCTTTCCTAAGAGTCACTATGATAGGGGAAAGATTCATGATGCTGGGCATAGTCTGGAGGTGAGGTATGTAGTGGTGTAAGCATATACCTGTGTATATGCGTGCTTGTGTGGTGTTGCATGTGTATGTGTGCACCTGCCTCCTGTGTACCTGTGGAGGCCATAGGTCAACATCATGAACTCACACTGTAGACCAGGTTGGCTTCGAACTCACAGAGATCCACCTGCCTCTGCCTCCTAAGTACTGGAATTAAAGGCAAGAGACAGGATCTCTTAATAAAACCTTACACTCATTGGCTACTTAAGCTCAGTGGACCTACCTAGTGTGTCCTTTCAACTTTGGGGTTAGAGATATATGCCTGGGGACCCAAACTAACATTTTCAAGCTTGGGCAAGAGGCAGTCCACACACTGAGTCATCTTTCCCATCAAATGATGCTTATTACCGGGTACCGAAACACATCTCCTTTTTCACCTTGCATAAGCCAGAGGGAAGTGAGACTAGCTTTTCCCCCGTGGTTCCTAGTTCTGTCTCCATCATCTTCCCACCCAAATTCTCAGTAAGTATACACTGTCCAGGAAGGAACTTGGTGAGGGTGGCAGCAGGCAGTTCAACCTTGTGCCACCGAACGAAGCAGAGCGGCTGTGAGAGGGTAGCCACAGATGCTCTGCTGTCCCTTCAAACCCAAGGGGGACCGGCTAGGGACGAAAGGTGTACGCTCTGCGGGAGGGCCTCAGCTCGAGTTGAGCCTCTGCCCCAGGCCCCGCCTCGTGGCTTTGAGCAAGGGGTGGAGCTTGCCGGGGCGGAACCCCTGAGGCGGGAACCGCTGTGGATTGCACGAGTTCTTCGCGACTGGCACCGCGTGGTAGTCGCAGCAGTCCACAGCCCGCAGACTCTGGTCTGTCGGAGACATAGTCTGTACCCCAGAAAGAGCACGTCGGGACCACTCCCGTAGTTGGTGCCGGCTATGAACTGGGAGCATCGTGCACGCCCGGAAGAAGGCAGGGGGGGCCAGGCCGCGCTGTGTCCTTAAGAATGCGCTCTTGCTCTTAACAGAGACCGTGAGTAAGGTGGCCCCTAATCCCAAGAGAAGCCCTTAGTCTGGGTGTTTAATTGAGGCAGGAGAGAGGTGAGAATGGACTGTCTGGGCGTGGAATTTGGGGAAGTTACTGAGGGCGGAGGGGACTCCACTTTTAGGCAGATCCCGGCGGCTCTGGTAATTTGGAGCAGGGCTCATGGAAAAGGCAGTTTGGCTCAGTTCCAAAGGGAGAAGAGCCCCTCACCTGAACTCCGTGTCCACAGTGCCCTGCCCTTCATGGCTCAGGAAGCCCAGTGGCTGGTGAATTACTGGGGTGAAGGCCGGAAGTTTCAGGCTTCAGTGGTTGGTGGGAGGGCCAGGGAATCTCTGCCACTGTCTGTCAGTTGGGTCTTGGCCACTCGGTTCTGCAGGTACTTTCCTGGGCTGGGAAGTGCGGCCGGACCGATGGCCATCTGCTAACCTGTCTCAGAACCTCAGCACCGTGCCTGTCTGGCTCCTGCAGGGCAGAGTGCTGAGGCTGAATGGTCTAATGACACAGGGCAGGGTTGTGAAGTCACAGAGGAAGTGGGATGCTGCAGCTAGGGACTGAGGTTGGCTACCCAAGGATGGGGAAGATATTGCCCGGACAGATTCTGTGTTTTCTGCCTGTGGAAGGGAGCCTCTGGGACTGGCAGGGCGTATCTGGTGCCCGAGGTGGACTGATGAGTCGGGTGAGGCCACCCCACTGTAAGGGACCCCCTCCCCATATTATACTGGAATAAAAAAAAAAAACAGACTCGTGTTCACCCTCTGGCAGGCTAACTAGCACCCACAGGATGTGGAAGGAAAGCAGTTGACTCCTGCAGTCTCCACTTCCCTTCCCTAATCCTCGTCTGAGGCCGACCACTCTCGCTCCGTCCAAACCCATCTATGCACTTTCTGTTCCTCTTGAGTAGTTGGCGTCCAGGATTTGAGGGACCAGGGCTCTGGGGACTATGTCCTGGAGAATCGATGGGGCCAGAAAGTCACCACTGACCCCCACCCTCCTTCTCCAGATGCAGAGGCCTCCATGGCTGTGATAAGCCTGCTCTTCTTGGCAGTGATGTACGTTGTTCACCACCCCCTGATGGTCAGTGACCGGATGGACCTGGACACACTGGCCAGGAGCCGGCAGCTGGAGAAGCGAATGAGCGAGGAGATGCGGCAGCTAGAGATAGAGTTTGAGGAGAGAAGGCGAGCCGCTGAGCAGAAGCAGAAAGCGGAGAACTTCTGGAGAGGAGACACATCCACTGATCAGCTCGTGCTGGGGAAGAAGGACATGGGATGGCCGTTCCAGGCCGGTGACCAAGATGGGGGGCCTCTGCGCTGGATGCTGGGGAACCTGTGGAACGCGGGCCTCTTTTGCCTTTTTCTCATCTTTGAGCTCCTGCGACAGAACATGCAGCACGAGCCAGCCTTCGACTCCAGCAGCGAGGAGGAAGAGGAAGAGATCCGCATCGTGCCTGCCGCCTCTTACGCCTGGCTCTCTGATTTTCCCTCCCAGGAAGCCCTGGAGTCCTTTTACAAACATTATATCCAAAATGCCATCCGCGACCTGCCCTGCACCTGTGAGTTTGTGGAGAGCTTTGTGGACGATCTCATTGAGGCCTGTCGGGTGCTCAGCCGGCAGGAGGCTCACCCGCAGCTGGAGGACTGCCAGGGCATCGGAGCTGCCTTTGAGAAGTGGGGGACCCTCCACGAGACGCAGAAATTTGGTGTCCTGGTGCCCATTGCCCCTCCGCAGGGCACTAGGTTTATCTTGGAGATGAGAGATCCGGCCCTGGGCCGCCGTTGCGGCTCTGTGAGGGTGGACTCGGGATGCAGGTGCAAACAGGAGAAGCTCCTGGGGGATGTGCTGTGTCTGGTGTGCCACCGCAGGGACCACTCAGCCATCTTGAACGAGTGTAGCTCCATCAAGGCGGCTCTCTGCACCGGCTCGCACCTGGACGTGTGTAAGACCGTGCAGTGGTTCCGCAACATGGTGAGCAACGCCTGGGCCCTAGTGGCCCACAAATACGACTTCAAGCTCACCCTCCCACCATCTACCACCTCCTGCAAGCTCAGGTTGGATTACCGCTCAGGCCGCTTCCTGTCTATCAGTTTGGTTCTTGGGGTGCAACGGGAAGATACCTTGGTCTACCTGGTGAGTCAGGCCCCGGAGCTAGAGCAGCTCACCAGCGTGGACTGGCCTGAGTCCTTCGCGGCTTGTGAGCACTTGTTTCTGAAGCTGGTGGGACGCTTTGCCCCTGAGAACACCTGCCACCTCAAGTGCCTGCAGATCATCTTGAGTCTTCAGGACCACAAGAGGTTGCCCCCGGGAGCGACCCGCCCCATCCTTACCTCCTACCACTTCAAAACAGCCCTCATGCACTTGCTGGTCCAACGGCCTCTGACGGACTGGCAGCACGGCATGCTGTCCCGGCGGCTCCAGGACCTTCTCTGCTTCTTAGGCCAGGGCCTCCAGCAGAGGTCTCTCCATCATTTCCTCATTGGCAACACCTTCCTGCCCCTGACCATCCCGATCCCTAAGACATTCCGGAATGCCGAGCCTGTCAATCTTTTCCAACACCTGGTGCTGAATCCAGTGGCGCACACACAGGCCATGGAGGAATTCCACAACCTTTTGGCCCAGGTGAAAACTCTGCCTTGCTCCCCACCGGATGGAGGACTTTAATGGAAAGGCCATTAAAAAAAAAAAAAAAAAAAGGAGAAGTTCTTTCTGATTCCTCGGGCTACGAAAGCTTATTTCTCACACAGCCAGAGGTGTCTGTGACCTTCACCTTGCCTGTGGGGACCACGGGAGAGTAAGCCCTTCTTAGGAGCCTGTGAAGAAGGCCGCAGCCTATGGAGCCTAGTCTGAGGGCTGGGATGGCTGATGTTTTTAGTCTCCTGACTTGAGTCAGGACCCAGAGAAAGTAAAAGTACATGGAAGCAGCTGTCATGGGAGGAGTTTGCTGCTGAGGAGATCCTGTTCGGTTGTGTTTCTGCGTCACCACTGGCAGCACAAGCTCCAGAGAGAGCGCCATCCTAGCTGGCTTCTTTCTGTGACTTGCTCCGCTGTCCCTTTGAAAGGCACTGTTAGCTTGATTCCCATCCAGCTTTCCTCCCTCGAACCAACAGACGCAGCGCATACTTCAGGATGGAGGTTTTCATAACCTCCCTAGTGTGAAATTATAAATATGTCTTTTCTATTTTTTTTTTTTTTTTTTTTTTTGAGACAGGGTCTCTCTACATAGCCCTGGCTGACCTGGAACTTGCTCTGTAGGCCAGGCTGGTCTTGAACTTGGAAATCTGCCTGTCTCTGCTTCCCACATGCAGGGATTAAAGGCGTGCACTACCACTGTCTGGCTTCTTTCTTTTCTTCTTCTCTTCTGTGTTTTCCTACTTTCTTTTCTCTTTTTTCTTTTTCTTTCTTTTGTGAGACGGTTTCTCTGTGTGGCCCTAGCTGTCCTGGAACTGGCTTTGTAGACCAGGCTGTCCTCTAACTTAGAGATTCGCCTGCCTCTGTCTCCCTATTTTCATACAAATTCATAGCTGTTTTTATGTATCTGAGGAAAGCCCTAGTACTATTTGTTAGTTTTTGATTCATAAGTGTTAAGTTAATGGTGACCCGTCCCATAATTGAGATAACCTCAGCAACAACTGATGACCTCTCTGTGTCTGCAGCAGTGTGGGAAGCTCCGCTGCTGCTCTCTCACGGGCTCTGAGAGGAGCAGTCTGAATCTGAGAGAGCTGACTGTCTGTTCAGTGGGAAGGCTGAGCTGCCACGTGCACTCCTCTGGTGATGACTTTCTATTCTCTCTTCAGAGATGACGAAGAGATTACTTGAACTTTGTGATTTTGAAAAGAGGATCATCACAGTCTAGGCCCATTGCCAGGGCTGGACAGGAAGGTCTGTGAAGCAGTTCAGGCCTAAGAGTTCTTTCTGATTCTAGAGAATGATTGGCGTGTTCTCTCCTTGTTCTAAACCTTCAGCATCTTGAGTATTAAGTAATAGCCAAGGGTGTGGTTGTTTTTGAAACATCAAGGTTGTTCTGTGCCCAACATTGCCAGGAAATCTGCTGGGAAGGAGACCCTGTCCCTTCGTTTGCCCTGCCTTCTGCAGTTGGTGAGGAAGGGGGTGTGAAATGATAGACTTGGGGCATCTGTTGAGGAATCCACACCCTCCCCACCCCAGCAAAAATAAAAGCTGATGTCAGTCAATGTTTGAAATTCTTGCTACAGAGAGGTACTGTGCTCCCATGTTACCTGCTTTCCAGGTAAGAGGATGCGGGGCTGGCTCCGTGCAGGTGAGAGTTCTGTTTTTCGAATGTCCAAATACTTTTTAGAAAACTATCTGCTTCTGTCTTAACTCCAATAAAAACTGAGGCTGTTTTCTGTATGAATTAGAATCTGTTCACTCACCACATTCGTCCATACCTCTCCCAAGAAGTTCTTGTTTCTCTGACAGCTCTAGCTAGTATCTCCTGATGTTTCTCAGTGCACCTTAAAGCTGTGGTTTGCCCTGTGGTTTCCAGTGGCATGGCCAGTGGCCAGGAAAGAATCACTCATAAAGTTACGGAGCATCTAAGTTATTTCCAGGGCACCTAAATCCAGCTCTCCACCAAATGAAAAGCTCTTAGTAAGCATAAAGAGCTCTAGGAGTCTGCTGGGGTAGGAAGAAGGTGGTATGATTGCTAGGTCTGCAGGGCTTCTCATCTAACAGGCAAGAAAGAAAACATGAAATTATGAGTGGGGAGAAGACTACAAAGGGAATAGTCAGCAAAGCTTGGGTGGGGCAGAAGGTACCAGAAAGTGTACAGGGTGTGTGCGTGGGGGGGTGAGTAATGGAAAGAACAGACCTAGGGTGCGCTGGGAATATTCCTAACAATGACATGGGGAACCTCTCCAGATAGGAAGCTAAACTTGATTGTGATACAGAACCTGGCAAGCCCCCAGGATGCTCGCCAGTTCCAGGGATGGGAATCATCGTCGGAGCTCACTGAGTGTTGTCGGCACTGTTGTTTACATTTCGGAACCCAGCCAGTCCTCATCCTGTAGTCCCACATAGGATCTTTGTTGTTCATATGAAGAAGCAGGCATAGAGAGGGTGCACAATTTCCCTATGGTCGTGCACCTGGTAAGTGGCTGCACCTGGAATAACGTACCCGCCCTAGCAACCTTTCACTGTGGGCTTTGGAATGAAACAAGATTAACCGGTCCAATAGCTCAGTGAAACAAAATGCATCTATTGGTTTTAAGATCAGGGCAGTATGTTATTGTTTGAAAGTTAAATTGTTCATAGCCCAGGATTTAGGAGATGAGGGATTTCATATTGCATATCAAAATTAAAAGCATTTGCTCAGATGCCAAAAGCAATTTCCTCTTTTTTTTTCCTTCAGTGTTTTGATACAGGGTGTCCCTGATTATCCTGGAACTGACTCTGGCTGGCAGAGATGCACCTGCCTCTGCCTTCACCTCAGGGAGTGCAGGGATTAAAGACCTCCTTTACCATGTGACCAATCCTTTTTGGTCTCAGTAACTTGATGAAAAGTCAGCGAATTTGTAGCCAAAGGTTGCTTGTTTAGCCAATTGGTTAACTCTTGTTCCTCACCCAAGCTAAGGTTGTTTCTGTTGGATTTTAAGGAAGTAGAATCTGGTGGGGGGAGGGGCCGACCACTTCTGTACAAACAGAGGAATCAAGTTTCACATGCCTCTGATACCAATGATAAATCACTTAATCTTTTGGCACCCTCAGTAGCCTTAACTCCAAAACAAAGGCGGCATTCAGAATAGATGTGAAAGACCTGCCTGCTCTGGGCATGCTCAGCCCACAGAACACTGAGTATGGAGCTGGCACAGAGCGGGCAGAGCCAAGCAGGCAGCCTAGGAGGATCATTATAGCCCCAGAATAGCCTCCAGCCTTGTCCAGTGGGTCGGCCACCTAGTATCTTTCCTTTGTCAGAGGACAATTCTTCAGGAACTCTAATTCAGAGCCACCTGCTACTCCTCCAATGCTTGTTGCTCTTAGTTTGAACATCAAAGCCTCCTATAAGCAGTCTTCATTGTATCCGGGAAGGCTTTCCTGGGGAACCAGCAGGAGCCATAACCTGACTGGCGCTAACTGGAGGAAGATGGACAGAATTCTAGATGGAAGAGAACGTACTTGCAGAGGGACTGTGGTAGGAGCAGGCTGGGTGAAGGCAAGTCTGAAAAAAGACCTGAATGGGTGGAGGAAGGGAGAGGACAAGATCAAAATGAGGCTGAAGAGCCTATGGGGTGGGGGCGGGGCAAACCCTGTAGATCTTGTAGGTCCCTTTGGAAGTTCCCAGAACAAAGGAACCTTTGAAGGGGTTTTAGACTTCTGGGAGGAAGTGGTAGTAGACAAGTGGGAATGAGGTCAGAGTTGCACTTGACAAACACTGTTCTAGGCTCAGTGAGGTGGATGGAAAGGTGAGGGGCCTGCAGAGATTTTTCAGGGGCTTAAAGCTCAGTAATGGATAAGGTGGGGGAGCATCCAGTCCTGGGAGCTGATGTGCAGTTCTTGGGTGGCTGACAGTAGCATTCTGGAAGGTGAGGAACACTGTAATCTTTTCTTCCCATAGTTCCACTGCCATGGCGTACCCACCAGAGAGGACTGCCCAGACGGGAGTTTAAGCTCATAGGAAGTCTGTGTTAGTCTGCTGTTAACTGAGTGTTTGGGATTCTATGTAGTGTAGCTCCAAGCCTCTCTCAGGGTGAGCTTTTTAGCATAATATCCATGTCTTGGGTTAACATACTTCAGTTAACAAGAACTGTCAGCCAGAAGTGGAACTGTAAAAGCCAAAAGCCAGGTTAGCACATTTAGAGACTTTCCCAGGACTATGGACTTGGAAGGATTAGGTCTTTGTTTCCATTTTGGCTAGTTGTATTGTCTGAATGGTGTTTTACAGCCCAAGTGGCATTTCTGTAGTGGAGTCAGCTGTGCTAAGGTCTGGGGGTCTACTACGGTCTGGACCCATGTTTTTTTTTTTTTTTTTTTTTTTTTTTTTTT